TGCGATAAATGCCAAAGGCATGCGCCAATGATTCACCAGCCCGGAGAGAAGCTCCATTCGGTATTATCCCCATGGCCATTCATGAAATGGGGAATGGACATCGTCGGCCCTCTTCCATCAGCCCCAGGTAAAGCTCAGTTTATTTTATTTATGACTGATTAATTTTTTAAGTGGGTTGAAGCACAAGCTTATGAGAAAGTCAGAGAAAAAGAAGCCATAGACTTCATTTGGGATCACATCATATGTCGATTCGGGATGCCCTCTGAGATCGTATGAGATAATGGAAAGAAATTCGTCGGCAGCAAAGTGACTAAATTTCTCAAGGATCACAAGATCAAAAGAATCCTATCGACACCTTACCATCCCAGTGAAAACGGACAAGCCGAATCAACCAACAAAACCATCACTCAGAACCTCAACAAGAGATTGACCGACGCCAAAGGGAGGTGGAGAGAGATACTGCCCGAGGTTCTATGGGCATACCGCACAATATTAAAATCTAATACTGGAGCAACACTGTTCTCGTTAGTCTAGGCGCCGAAGCTCTAATCCCGGTCAAAGTCAGAGAACCTAGCATCAGATTTCGATGTGCAATGGAGGATTCGAATAACGAGGTCATGAATACAAGCCTTGAATTGTTGGACGAAAGATGCGAAGCCGCCCTGGTCCGATTGGCCGCCCAAAAACAACGGATCGAAAGGTATTACAATCAAAGAGCCAATCTTCAGCATTTTAACATCGGGGACTTGGTGCTAAGAAAAGTCACCCTCAACACCTGGAATCCCAATGAATGTAAACTAGGTCCAAACTAGGAAGGGTCATACCAGGTTCTCGGAATCACCGGGAAGGGATCCTATAAGCTCGGCACGATGAATGGCGAATAACTACAGAGCAATTGGAACATATCGTACCTAAAATGATACTACTGCTAAGGTACGATCCCTTCTATTGTCATTTATATTTTAAACTAACTTTTGAAGGTGTTAGATCGGAAACAGCTGTGGCCTCCTCGGCGCGAAGTCTTTAGGTCTGAAAGCACGCGTTGCACTCTTTTTCCCTTAGACCAATTTTGTCCCAATTGGGTTTTCCGACGAGGTTTTAAACGAGGCAACCATTAATCGTGCTAACTTAGAACAGTTCAACAGTATTCAAGGTTTCTTTACAGTCAACCTCGAATACTGCGGGGCATTACCCTCGAATGTTAACTTTGTTGCGAGGTTTTAAACGAGGCAACCATTGATCGTGCCCGCATAGTTTGCTCGAGCCCTGACATAGAACATGTACGCATGTATAATCAACTATAATGAGAAGTAATTTACTTGCCTATATTTCATGCCTTAGAAAAAATTTTCTACTTTACAATTTCATACTCTCAATCTATTATGAAAACAGGCTTAAGGGCCTATCATAGCCACAGTTTGGATAATTACCCCCACGCTCGGGGACCGCCGTCCGAAAAATAAACGAGATCGAATTATTAAAACTTCAAAGATCATAAGACCTTTTAGGAAACTCTCGATCTTTATAGGCCACGGCCACGGCCACCCCACTCGGGGACTGACATTTCGGGCAAGCTTGAATTAAAATGAGAATATAAGCCCAAGGGGAAAATCCCTAACTAAAGAGGCTACGGACAAATTCATGCGGTTCAGAGATGTCCGAACTCCGTAATAAAATAGGCCTTCGAATTCTTTCATAAACCAGTTAGATAGGCTACCCCCGGCAAAATCATAAAAGGTTTCGATAATATCAAGCCTCGAAAACTCTATTGAATACAAAATTGTTCGAACTATCGAACAGTTCCTTATTTCATGCTAAGGCATTACAATTTTGCAAATGCAAATGATACAAAAACCTTTCAAGCCGAAAAGGGAAGAAAGCCATAAATAATCTTTTTACAAGGCCATATCGGCCTAATATAAGAGCCTAAGGGCTATTTTCGCTTTGAGTTCGACCATCCTCGCTCAAATAAAAAACCTAAGGTTTTCCTCACTTCAGGTTTGATCAAACACTCACTTGATCATAAAGGTTGTACTAGTTCGGTTTCGAACAGATTGTCCGAGCCTCGAACCTTATACGATTCCATAATTTTATAAGGCAGGAAAAAAGGAAAAGTGACAACTGATTCATAAGCCATGGAAAGGGAGAGGTTTCATATATTCGTCAAAATATTTTACAAGGGCCATATAGCCCGAACAAGAATTCTTTACAAAGGTCAGACGGCATCGACAGAAAAACAAAATATCACTAAGCCTAAGCAGCATGGTCCTTGTCGGAGGAAGTATCTTCGCCCTCGGAATCCTCTACACCAGACCTACTCAAATTCTCGGAGTCTTCCTCGGGATAAACCAGCTTCCGAGCATTTGTTTCCTCTGCCCTGGCAACCTCGATTTCAGCAGATATATCAAAACTTTGATCACGGGCCCCCTCAAGAGCCTCTCTTCGAGCCTGCCACTTCTTATGGTCCACCATGCTCTTGGCCTGCTCTAGGGTGGCTTCTGTATCGACTTTGTATTTGGTCGCATTAGCTTGGGCCTTAATATCACCGCCGCCTCAGACCTGGCCTCCTCGAGCTCTTTGGCCAAGTTGGCCAAAATAGGATTCAAGCTCCTCGACTCTCTTTGCCTGAACCAAGGCATTCTCCCTTACAGCCCGAAGCTGAGACTCGGCCAACCCCAGCTCTGCTTGGATGGCCTCCTTCTGTACAGCCAAAATGTCCATACACCCCTTGAACTCTTCAGCCTCGGCTCGTACCTTATCTATTTGCCTTTGGAGGTCCTTGCTTTGTTCGAGCCTCTGTCGAACCTGCAGAATTAGCTCATTAGTTGTTATCTCCAACTCATCCTCACTATCATGAAGGACTCAGAATACCTGCTCGGCCATCTCAGCATGCTCATCTCGAGCCGCCACCAAGTATACCTGAAGCTTGTAGGTATCACATTTCTCTGTAAGGCCCTGAACCTCGGCCTTACACTTTTCTCGGATTCGAAGAAAAGCCTCATGATGCAACAACGAATCCTACAATAAAGGAGGAAAAATGTTAGAATTTTCTACAATTCAAAGTTATAAAGAGATAATGGAACGACCCTCGAGCTTACCCGATTCAGAGCATGTTGGGCCTCGTTGAACAAGCAAGTGACTTCCATTTCATCCATCTTGGCTTGGTCCTCTTCGGTGACCAAGCATCGGAGATAACTAGCCACCCCTACGGGGGCAGAGAAAACTCGAGCATCCTCCGGGACGGAGATGATAAGTTGCCGCTTACCCCCGGGATCAACACTGGGGGCGGGGAATTGGCTGGTCAGTTTAAAGCTCGAGGAAGCCTCACTCGAGCTCTTCCTCGGTACATCCAAGTCACCCAGACCGGTGACATCCTCTACCTCAGCAAAATAACCATGGAAACAATCTTCCTCTCTGTGGGCTCCTTCCCCGTAACAAGTCTCCGCAGCCTGAGCGTCATGTATCATCGAATCAGAAATTGGAGGGAAGGAGGGGGAGTCCCCGATCTTTATTGACCTAAGTGGGTCGTGCGAGGCATTGCCTCTGTTCTGGGGAACCTCGAGCCTGATTTTTGCACCAGCATCGATTGCCTCCTCGGTAGCATTCCCACCTCGAGGTGAAGTATCTTCGGCTTTTTCTGGATCGAGCTCATCAGGCCGAGGCAAAGCAGTTTCGGCTCCCGACAACCCAGTGGTTCCTTGAATCTCAGTACCAGCTTGCAGACGAGTCCCCAGTCTGGAATCTTCTTCTTCATCATCTCCATTTTCAGCCTCATCCCTCAGCCGTTTGACTGACTTTATAGTTAGGCGGATGACTTCCCCCCAGGCTTACGGGACCTCCTAGCCAGTCTTTTCTTTTCCGGGCCCGAAGATCTCGGAGCCTCTTTTCTTTTCTTCTCTTTGGCCTGATTAGGGGCTGGCTATGGAAGAAGTGCCTCTTCTTCAGCGGAGGGGGGCCTCATTGCTACGTCTTTCCCCAGGCCGACAAAAGGAAAAAGATGAGTAAGTCCTATGTGAAGCCCGAATGAAAACCGTTCTAAGAAAAGAAGATTACCATGGTTACGGGCCACCCACCGACCCTTTGATAACTCCATCCAAGCATGCTCGGAGTAAGACTTTTGCGACAGTAAACCCTCGACCCATTACTTCAGGTCGGGGATCACTTCCGGCACGACGGCCACAAATACAAAAAAAAAACTTAGATGAGGAAAGAAGATGAGAAGTAAAACAAAATATTCAAGGCAAAGCAATACTTACGATTCATGTTCCATTTTTCAGGGAAAGGCATGTCCTCGGCAGATATCAGGTCTGAGTTCTTTATTCGGACAAACCGAACTATCCAACCTCGATCTCGGGTCTCATCTATGCTCGAGAACGGGGGTTTGGTGGCTCGGCGGTAAAGCTTGATCAAGCCTCCTCGATAAAGTCGGGGGCTGTAGAGACGCATAAGATGATCAAGGGTAAATGGATGCCCCTCGATCTTGCTTGCAAAAACTCGGAGGAGGATCACGATCCTCCAGAATGATGGATGAATTTGGCCAAAAGTGACATTGTACCTCTTGCAAAAGGCGACGATGACGGGGTCCAAGGGACCTACGTGAAGGGGTAAGTATAGACACTCAGATACCCCTCCACATGAGTGGTGATAGATTCCTCGAGGGTAGGAACTACTACATCTTTGCCTACCCAGTTGCACTCTTCCTTCACCTTCTCGGGGATGTCTTCGGTGATTGTACATATGTATCTCGACATCGGTTCGCATCGACCCGGTGTCGAGGGTGTATTCTCTACCTTAAAATCGAAAGCAGTGGGCACCTTGTCGGAATGAAGTCCTCAAGGGGATGCTCTGCAGCGGCTCCATCGCCGACGGGCCTTAAAGAAGAAGCGATTTCCTTGTGTGGAACGGTTTTTGAAGTCTTAGCCATTCTTATAAGTGGAGAAGAATGAAATGGAGGAAGAATGCTTGGTGTTTTGCGATGAAACAAGTAAGGAAATTGAAACTACTTATAAGTTTAATTGTTATCCAATTTAAGGGTAAACACACTTACATTTTACAACACCAACAAAGTTATAAATTAAATGTACAACATAAGTGCAATGTTTTGTCGTGGTGATCCTGAGAAAACAACATTGAGAACTAGATTATGAGACTAACTTTTAGCAACTCATAGGTACTCCTTTTGAATTAAAATTTATAATGCTCGAGTAGATTGATTGAGATAGTTGGGTTGTATTTCGTTCTAGTAGTACGAGTCGTCACTAGAATTCAACTAACCACTGAACTAATACGAATCCGTCGTCCTATTTACAGGAACGTAAGGGGAGGCAATCAAGCACAACTTAGTTTTTCTTTCAAGACTCGTACTAAATTTCTCAGTCATGTCTAATTCTTGAGGACTCATCCCACTGGGAAGTTTCCAGTCAAAATGATAGAGCAATAATGCTAGAGAAACTTCCACACTCGCCATTCCAAAGGATATTCCTGGGCATATTCTTCTTCCTGCACCAAATGGCGTGTACTCAAAATGAGTTGGTACGCTTTCAATTGGACTACCATCAAACCTATCCGGATCAAATGTTTCCGGATTTTCCCAGTGTTTTGGATCTCTTCCAACTGCCCATAGATTTAGTAGCACTAAGGTTTTATTTGGTATTGTATATCCGTCGATCTCACTCTCCTCCCTGGATTCTCTAGCGAATGAAAGAGGACCTGGGGGATGAATTCTTAGAGTTTCCTTGATTACCATTCTCAAGTACGTTAGCTTTTGAATGTGACTTTGATCGATCCTTTCTGTTCCCAACTTGTAGACTTGTCTCACTTCAGCTTGTGCTTTCTTCATCATTTTCGGATTCTTTACCAATTCTGAAAAAGCCCACAACATGGCTGTTGCTGAGGTTGAAGTTCCAGCTACAAACAACTCCTGCCAGTGCATTCATTCAAATTTATAATAAGGACGACCCCAAGAATACGAAACGCTTCATTTGTACCATTTTTATAGGAAGGTGTTTGATTGGACTCTAAATTCAAGAAATAAATGAAGATTTTTAACACATAAACTAAATATATGGAAGATACCAAAATCTCTCTTACTACCAATAATTACATGTGTAGTGGTTAGGGTTTCACGTGTCTTTTCATTTTGTGTCTCCTAATAAAAGATAAATTTTTATATAAAGTGGGGTAAAATTAGGATGCTAATAGTAAATATTTAAAAGAAAGTGCACATGTCATATAGAATGGACATTAATAATAACATATGAAATAGTATAAAGTAAAAATAGTTGGCGGAGCCCCCCCATATATATATATATATATATATATATATATATATATACACTCAGAAAAATGAAGGAAGTCACAGTCCGACTAACCCACCAACTCTGTCAATGATAGGTCATGATAAACCAATGGTTATAGATTCGAAATCCACAAACGGAAAATATAAAACACATGAAGTCAAGGTTCTAAGATTATTATTTCTCTTTACTTTATCGCCCTCCTACTTAAGCAATCAACGGCTCTCAGATAAATCTAACAAATTGTAGTACAAACTTGATGCACATAAGTTATTTATTCTGTCCAATAGACTTGCGATTAAAGGAGAAGAATTAATGAGTGGTAACAAAAAAAATGGGAGAAATTAAGACAAGAAGAGGCTACTTACAAAGACTGTAGCATTGATAACATTCCTAGTAATAGGAATCGGAAAATCTTTGCTTTCCTTAAGTCTCAGAAGTACATCCACAATATCTTCCTCTATTTGCTTGCCATCACCATCACCATCAGTTCCTCTCTTCAATTCATGTTCACGTATAATTTGTTCAACAATATGATCAGCCTTCTGATGCATTTTCGTTAATTTTCGCTTTAGGCCACTAATTAATTGAACTATTTTCCAGGAAGGAAAAAGATCAGCTGCACTGAATATTCCCGCGAAGCTTACGAATTCTTTCATTACCATTAAAAATGACTCCTGATCTGTACATGCTGTCCTACCAACAGCAGCTTTACAAGTGATAGCAAATTGCAACAAACTCAGTCTTTCATTCAAGTCAATGGGTTTCCCTACTTCTGCAGCTGCAATTGACTTAACCAGATCACGCACCTCGTCAAACATCATAGGAAAAAACGAGTGGATCCTCTTCAGACCAAGGAGTTCCGAGTTACAAATTTTGCGCATCTGTCTCCAGAAGTCACCGTATGGAGCGAATGCCATATCAGAAAAACCGTACATCATTATCTTCCCAACGAAAAGCTCTGGCCGGTTAGAGAAAGTGAGATCATGTGTTTTGAAAAATTGTCTGGAAACTTCAGCAGATGAAACTACAAGAACCAAACGTTGACCGAGCTTTAGGTGCATCAAAGGTCCGTACTTAGCTGCTAATTTACTCAGAGCAACATGTGGTTGGAACTCAGATGATCCGAGGCAGAGCAGTTGGTGCAAGTTCCCGATCAGTGGGAGCTTCCTCGGCCCTGGTGGCAATTTCTGCTTACTCTTAGCATATTTGTTGTACCCTTTGATTATTATGAAACATAAGGGTAACAGTACAAGGAAAATGGAAACGAAGAAAGATGTCTGGATTTCCATGGGAATCTGAAGAAAGATTGAGAGGTTCACAAAAACCAAGTCTGCTTAGCTTGCCAGGTTTTTGAGACGTCTTCTTTCTGATTTCCTCACTCCACTGTTATATGGTCATACAGTATAACTTATTTAACTTACATATGCCCACTGATAGCACAAAAGATTTTTACATTATCATGTCATTCAAAAGATAAACACTTTATAAAAAAAATGATATGTTAGTATTTTGAAGCTTGATTAATGCGGTTTACATCTTCTGTATAGTTTGCGAGCTATTACACAATAAGCAAGTTACTCAGTGCGCACTCAAAGAGTAGCGACTCCGGGTCCTTGGGAACTTTTCCCTGATAGTGTAAAATAATTCATATTAATAAACTAGGGGACAATCAGATAGCACCGAGCGGAGCAAAGGGAAGGAGACTAATTTAAAATTTTGTTTTGGTGTATGGCCAAATATATTGAAGAAAGTATTGGGAGTTGAAGATTTATAAATTTGTAATGGTGAGCCACGCTTACTCAAATTTAATATTTCTCGTTCCTAACCGATCGAATCTTCTGGTTTCACGTGGTGTGAAGATTAGATTAAAATAAAAAGGGCTGTTATGACTACATTAAATTGTGTGTACATTTTAAGTTTTTTAAGAAGCTTAAATAAACTAAGCTTTCTTCTGAAGAGGCTTACCGTGAAACAAGTAAGTTGTAAGTAGCTCATACAAATAGATTGAAAGCAATCGGAAAGGATTGTAATCAACTTATTACACGCAACTTGCTTTCTTATGTAAATAGAGAGTAATAAATTGTTTCAATTTGAAAAAATAATAATACATTACTTTGTCTTTCTCTATATATTCACTCTCTTCACTTGCTTTATATCTTATAGCACGTTATTAGCCTCAGTCTCTACTATTATTTCTATGATGATTACTTCTGTTTACCCTCAAAATCGGATAACAATTTAATTTATATGTGGTTTTAAGAATACGTGATCTAACTTGATACAAATTGAGAAATCATATTACTATTGAAATTAATGATAGAAAAGTAAATGCAAACCACACAAGTTGAACAATCTTGGCGTTGAAGGTTGGTCACCCTCGAGTCAAAAATGCCTTAATCGATACCGAAACAGAATGATGCGATAATAAGAACTAGTAATACCAATATATTGCTTTGGGATGCGTGTTACAATATGTCCAATGAATTATCATACCCCCCTTTATATAGTAGAGGAGTCTTTCTGTAGGTACATTTCTATAAAAGGTAAAAATCTCTTGTTTTGCTAATTGTCGGTTCCTTGCCGATATACGCCGAGATTCCTACCGTAATATCCGTCCGGTCGCAGATATTTCGGTCTTCTGTTTATTATTTTCGAGCTCGCTCGAGGCTAAGGTCAATTCCGGACTCAACGTTCCTCGAAGACAAGTCTTCCGACCTCAGGTTCTAGCTCGATGAGACTCGAGGTCAATCTCCAGTCCGTGGTCGCCATGTTCTAAGCCAAATTTACAAAGTTGTAGTCGAGCTAGACTTTGATCGTATACAGATAGTCCCCTCAATTTTCAGAGAGTAGACGATGAGAAACGACATGAACTTCTGATCCTGATCTCGATATTTTGTGATAGAAACGACAAAACAGTCAAAACGTCTCGTTAGTTAAGTCTTAATGGCATTAAATGCCTGTCAGTTCCCGGTCGGCCACTCCCAGATATGAACAGTCCTCGAGAAACTATAAATACCCCCTCATTATCTCATTCAAACTTTACTTTCAAAACTTCTGCCCTCGTACCTTAAAAATTTCAATATTCCCAAACATCAATTTTCTGATTACTCCGAAATCGCTTTACAAAAACTTATGTTCTTTACCCGAAATTATCAAGCATATCCTTTTAACTTCCTCTATTTCCTCAACTTTTCAAAAAAAAAAATGGCGAAGACCTCAAAGTCCATTCCCCAAAAAGAAATTCCCTCTGCTTCGCGACTAACTGAAGACGAAAATGTTTCGTCTGCTGCTACTGAGGAAACGACACCAGAGCGAAGATGTTCATTCCTGCGGGATGCCCGACCGGTGCTGATTTCAAGGTCGAGAAAACCTCTTACGTACCGGGTCCATGCGAGTCGGTCTGATTCCAAGGTCAAAGAGGATTTCAACTGGGTTGGTAAGCACGTGGTGGTGCCTACGCCCGAGAAATCGATTACTACCCACGTGAAGGGTTTTTTAAGTGTTTACACTTAACCCTTCATGTTGGGCCCCTTGGACCCGGTCATCATCGCCTTTTGTAAGAGGTACGAGATGACCCTCGGTCAAATTCATCCCTCTTTCTAGAGGATAGTGATTCTCCTACGCTTCTTCGTAAACAAAATCGAGGGGTGTCCCTTTACCATCGATCACCTCATGCGTCTGTACATTTTCCGACTCTATCGAGGGGGATTAATAAAACTTGCCCGTCGGGCCAGTAAGGCCCCATTCTCGAGCATAGAGGAGGATCGGGACCGAGGCTAGTTGGGCCGATTCATTTGAGTGAAGACCTCGGATTTAATTTCGGCCGAGGAAAGGCCATTTCCCAAGAAATGGAACATGAAACATAAGTATAACCTTGCCTTTAAGATTAAGTTTATTGCTTTTCCTTTTCCTCCCTTCTTATCTATGTTTTGTGGTGCAGCTGTTGCTCGAATGCCGGATGCAGTTCCTCGACTCAAGGAGTGGGTCGAGGGCATCATGTCATAGAAGCCCTATTCCGAGCGCGCGTGGAGCGAACTTTCTAAGGGCCGGTAGGAGGCCCATTCCTACGGTGAGATTCCTCTGCTGAATGCATAACACTTAGTTTTTTTGCCGCGCTCCTTCTCACTTTTTCTTCATTTGCAAGTCTTCCCAAAGATGTTGAAATGAGGCCTCCATCCGGTGATGAAGACATCCTCCCCGAACCATCTGCTCCGAGGCAGTATAAAGAGAAGAAAAGAAAATGGGCTCCGAGTTCCCCGAATTCGGAGAAGAAAAAATCGAAAAAGACGTTGGTGCGCAAATCCAAGAAAAGTACCAGCGCCCGGGAGGTTCCACCGGACTCACTGAATCGACTGAGCGACGAGTCCGAAGATGAAGAAGAAGAAAAATCTTCCGAGATGATGACCCGCGTGAGAAGCGGTATCGAACTGCCTCAAACCAGGGTGGCCGATGAGGAGGCAAAGGCCGAAGCCTCCGATCCAGGGAGGGACGAGGCCATTTTGCCCTGAGCTGGGGAGGTCGACAAGGAGACCACGACTGGTACTCCTCGAGCAGAGTAAAGTGCCTCGAAGGATGCACTTGGGGTGATAGATCTCTCCAGGTCGCCGTTATTTACCAACTCCATGATCAACAAGGCTCATACACTGAAAGAACGCTCAAATGAGGGTTCTCAAGGGGCGGCTGATTCTTTCAAAAACTTCTTCGACAACTTAGATTCTACTGCATCGGGGGATGTCACCGGGCTGAGTGACTTACCGGTACCAAAGAAGGTACCATCTTCGAGAGCCAGCAGGACTTCTTCGAGTTCGAGATTAGTAGACCGGTTCCCAGCTCCAAGTGCAGATCCTTACCGGAAGCGGTCAATCATTATGTCTATCCCGTAGGATGCCCGTGTTCTCTCCGCCCCCGTGGGGGTTGCCTGCTATCTTCAGTGCTTGGTGACCGAAGAGGACTAGGCCAAGATGGATGAGGTGGAAGCGCCATGCTTGTTCAACGGAGCTCAACATGCGTTAAATCGGGTAAATTCGAATGCCTCTTTATTATGTACTTAGATTTAAGTCGCAAATAATCGTAACATCTCTCTTTGTATTTGCAGGCCTCGGTGCTTCATCACAAAATATTTTTTCAATATCGGGAAGAGTTATACTAACACGAGGCTGAGACTCGGGAGCTTACTGAGAACATGGACGCTTACAAACTTCTCAGTGAGAAACTCCAAGCTGAGCTAGAAACGGCTCGGAGGAGCATGCTGACCTGGTCGAGCAGGTAAGACAAGTATTTGATGTTAGTGACGATGATTCAGACACAATGGCTAATGACCCGAACCTGCAGGTTCAAAAGAAACTTAACCAGATCGGCAGCTCCAGGCGGCGGTGGATACGGTGAAAGCTGAGGCCGAAGAATGGAAGAGAAACATATACCTCCTGGCCTTAGGATCCTCTTAAACATTTTTTTCTTTTGTTTTTTTAGGCTATTTTGGCCGTTGTAGAATTTTGTATTGGGGCTTTTTGGCCCTTGTAAAAAGAATTTTTGATAAATATATAAGGCTTTCTTTCATTTTTACAACTTTCGAATTTTTCCCTTTGCTTTATTATTTGTATTTACAAAGATCGAAATGCCTTAGCATGAAATAATTAGGTTATATTCGAAGGTTCAAACAAACCTTGCCTTTACATTATTCTGTTTTAAGGCATCTTGGGGGATCGATTTTACTGGAAACTTTCTCCAAAAGTAAGTAACTTAGATTATAGTTTACTGAGGGTAGCCTTTAGAACTGGTTATGAAAATTTTCTTTTTGAAAGCCTTATTTTTGTTACGGGACCTCGGACATCTCCGAGCCATTTTAATTTAGTCGTGGCCTTTTTAGTTTGGGTGTTGCTCAGTGGGTCGCCCCAAGTTATCCGGGCTTGCCTAGGATAACATTCCCCGAGTGGGGATAGTCGTGGCCTTTAAGATTCGGGCGTTGCCTTATATGTCTTATGCCCCAGAGCTCCGATAGCCCGGACCATCCGATTTTGTTTTCGGACGGGTAGTTTGCGAGTGAGAGTGATTGTTAGAACTCGGATGAAGGTGGCCCTTGGGCTCGATTACTTTGGGGTATCGGACATAGGTAATTTTTTGAGAAATGCAAGAATTATTTTTTAAAAGGACAGAATATTTATCCGCAAGAAGGAGACTTCTTTTTATTCTTGGCCCTTCGATTGTAATACCTCTCGATCCGCTATTTTTGAGCATCCAACCAGACGAGGGCGGCTTCGCGCCTTTCGTCTAATAGCTCCAGGCTCGTACTCATGGCCTCATCATTCGATTCCGTTGTTGTATATCGGAATCTGACACTTGATTCACCGACTTTGACCGGTATTATAGGTTCGGCGTCGTAAACCAGCGAGAACGGGGCGGCCCCTGTACGAGGTCGTATGGTATGCCCATGGGACTTCGAGTAGGATTTCTTTCCATT